AACTTCTGGGCCCACAAAGCAAGTACACCTGAAGGCAGGAGCATTGCTCGTGAAGTGGGTACCTCTGGGCACTTAATTGGAGGAGTTGGGTTTGCTGATTCATGGAGCTGCAACTGAATGCCTGTAGGTTGAGATTTATAGTGGAATTACATGTCATTTGGGCATTTATTTGTCACCCTGAAAGAGCTTTGTAACATTATGTAAGCAGAGCAGAGGCCATACCAAGCGGTATGGCCAAAGAGAATTTTGCCAAAAAATACGGCAGAGAAGAAACTGTCCTTACTAAACTGTATCCTTAACACTTTTCTCTTATGAATTGTTACCTGTTAACTTCTCTAATAGACCTCATAATCATGAGCATAATCTGTGATTTCTGTAAAACAATTAATGTTTTAATCCAATCACAGAAATAGAATGCCATGGGAGGGATGGTTGGCGTAAGAATAAGGTACAAAAGCATTGGGGGTGGAGTGACAGATCATGTCTTGTGGTAATTAGCCTCAGGGTAGGAAGGGGTCAGACGTGGCCATCAGTCTTATGCCTTGTGGCAATCCATCTTAGAATAGGAAAACATCAGATGTGGCTCCTATACCATTTTGTTTACCCCTCCTACAACAGAATTAAAAGATGAATAAAAATCGTCAAAGACATGGTCTATCTTATATCAAGGAGAAAATACAACCTATAGTTCTTCATGTGAGATACCAATTTTTCTGAAAGATACATTAAAAAATGTGCCCCAATTTATCGAAGCACAAAGCGGGTAGACGACCATGGAAGCCAATCATTGGGTCCATGTTGGGTGTTCCTTTTTGAAGTATGCTAGAAGTATTCCTAATAATTAATGGTCAGGGGAGTGGCCATTCTCTTCTTGGGCTTACTTTAATGAAGCAATTTCAAAGTGAGGAAAATGATTACAGTCTTTAATGTCAGATCAAAGAAGATGTTAATGAAGATCTTACACCTTTGGAGATTGAACCATCAAATATATTTTGTAAAAACCAGGCACATATTATGTTAACTCATGGTTAACTCGTTAACCAATTGTTAGCTGCCATTGAGTTGCCAGACTCCTGGTGAATCTATGCATAACAGGATGAAATATCCTCTGATCCTGCACTATCGTATCCCATGATCAATTGCAGAACAAACCTTTGTGATTCAAAGTGTTACTGGCTGGTTTTCAGAAATAGAAAGCCAGGCCTTTCTTCTTAGTTTGTCTCAGACTGGAAGGTCCGCTGGAACTGTTCAGCATTATAGCAACACTCAAGCCTTTACTTACTACTGGTAGCTGCACTTGAAGAGGATGGGTTCTCCCTATGTCCTGAACAGAATGTGAGATTTCTATCATTGATCCACCAGTGCCCCTAGTTACTTCATTGTTGCTGTTGCTGTTCGGGGCCCTTGAGTCGGTTCTAAACCAGAGTGACCCAATGCATAACGGAATGAAACACTGCCCTGTCCTGCTCCGTCCTCACAGTGGTTCCTGAGCTTGAGACCATTGACCTGTGTCAATCCATCTCATACAGGGCCTTCCTCATTTTCACTGCTCCTCTGCTTTGCCAAGCACTGTTCTCTCCAGATTACATGTCCAAAGTATGTATGACTAAGTCTCTTTATAACTTGCCTCCAAGGAGCACGTTGACCGTACTTCTTACCAGACAGATTTGTTTGTCCTCTTGGCAATCTAGAGTACTTTCAACATTCCCTGCCAGCACCACAATTCAAATGCACCAATTCTTCAGCCTTCCTTATTCTATGTCCACTTCACATGCATATGAGGTGATTGAAAATATCATGGCTTGGGTCAGGGACCCTGTAGTCCTGGAAGTAATCCCCCTGCTTTTCAGCACTCTAATATGGTCTTGTGTAGCAGATTTATCCAATGTAATGTGTTGTTTCTCTTCACTGCTGCTTCCATGAACATGGATTGTGGTTCCAAGAAAGACAAAATCCATGACAAATTCAACCTCTTCTCCATTTATCATGATGTTACCTATTGGTCCAGTTCTGAGGAATTAAAATCCATGCTGAGGCGATAATACTTGATCTTCACCAGCAAATACCTCAAGCACTGCTCACTTTCAGCAAGTAAAGTTGTGTCATTGGCATTTGTAGATTCTTAATAAGCCTTCTTCCAATCCTGATACTGCATTCTTCTTTATACAACCCATCTTCTCTGGTTGTCTGCTCCGTATAAAGATTGAATAAATATGGGGAGAGGATACGATCTTGACGCATCTTTCCAGATTTTAGACCACGCAGTATTTCCTTGTTCTGTTCTCACAACTGTGTCTTGATCCATATGCAAGTTCCACATGAGCACAATGAAGGTCTGGAATTCTCATTCTTCTCAACATTACCCATATTTTGTTATTACTCTCACAGTCCAATGCCTTAGCATAGTCAGTGAAACACAAGTAAACATCTCGCTGGTGTTTTTTGCTTTCAGCCAACATCCGACATTGGCAATGAGACCTTGTTTCATGTCCTCTTATGAATCCAGCCTGAACTCTGGAAGCTCCCTGTCAATGTATTGCTCTAACCGTTGTTGGATGATCTTCAGCAAAATTTTACTTGCATGTGCTATCAATAATATTTTTCTCTAATCTGAGCCTTCTTTTGGGTCACCTTTCTTTGCAATAGATTCAAATATATATCTCTTCCAGTCAGATGACCAAGAAACCGTCGTCCACATTTTCTGACAAGTTAAGAAAATGCTTCCAGTGCTCCATTAACTTGTTGAAACATTTTAACTGGTATTCCACCAATTCCTGGAACTTTATTTTGGGGTAATGCTTACAGTAACCCCCTTGAACTTCCTTCAGCAACATTGGTTCTTGCTCCTAAAATGGTAGAATGTCAGCAAGTTACTTTTGGTAAGTGACTCTGTGTATTCTTTCATCTTCTTTTGATGCTTTCTGCATCATTCAATATTTTTCCAATAGAATCTTTCAGTGTTGCACCTCGAACCTTGAATTTTTCTTGCATTCTTTAAGTTTATGATAGGCTGAGTGTGTTCTTCCTTTTAAACTTTTTAAATCTAGGTCTTTGCACATTTCATTCTAATAATTAACTTTGTCTTCTTAAGCTGCCCTTTGAAATTTTCTATCCAGCACTTTTGCTTCATCATTCCTTCCATGTGCCTCAGCTACTCTAGGATTAAGAGCAAGAGTCTTTTCTGACATCCACTTTGATCTTTTTTTTCTTTCCTGTCTTTTTAATGAACTTTTGCTTTCTCCATGAATGATGGTCTTGATGCCCTCCCACAGCTTATCAGATCTGTTCTTGAAATGGTCTCAAAGTCCAGGTGGGATGTACTCAAAGTCATAGTTTGGCTGTCTTGGAATTTTTAAAAATTTTCTTCAGCTTTAGCCAAATTACATATGAGAAATTGATGGTCTGTTCCATAGCCAACCCTTGAAATAGTTTTATCTCCTCATAATGAGCTTCTCCATCATCTCTTGCCACATACGTAGTTAGTTTTATTTCTGTGTGTTCCCTCTGGAGCAGTCCACGTGTATAGTCACTGTTTGTGTTGTTGAAAGAAGGTATTTGCTATAAACAAGTCATTAGTTCTGCTTCCCATCACCAGTAATTATCAGTACATCGTGATTGCATGCTCGATCAATTTCTGACTGAAGAATTTGCTGAAATCCTTCAGTTTCTGCCTCACTAGTTTTGGTAGTAGCTGTCTACATTTGAATAATAATTGTATTGATTGGAGTGCCTTCAATGTGGATAGATATAATCCTATCACTGACAGCACTGTACTTAAAGACAGATCTTGAAGTGTTCTTTTTAACAATGAATTGGACACCATTCCTCTTAAATCTGCCCTTCTTGTAATAGAAAACCATATGCCTTTCTAATTTTAAGTGACCAGTACCAGTCCATTTCAACTCATTAATGCCTTGGGCCTAAGATATTGATGTTTATGCATTCCATTTTTAACAATTTCCAACTTTCCTAGATTTATACTTCTTACATTCTAAGTTCCCGTTACTAGATTTTTGCAGGTGCTTCTTCTCGTTTTGAAAAACACCCTATTTCAAAACGAGGACCCCAAAGTCTTTACTCCCACAGGCTTTGCTCTGTTCACATCACAGGATCTCCTCAACCTCAAGAAATAAGCTCCTCTGCAGTCCCATTTCGAATGCCTCCCACCTGACAGCCCCATCCCCTGACACTGTCCCTGACAATGTTCTCCTTCTCGTCACTCGACCTTCGGTATCTGACAAGGTTTCCATGCAATGCATAAAGTCTTCAGCAGCTCCTTCCTCCGAAGTGGGTAGTCCATTCCTTCCTTGTAGTGTGCTCATAGTGTAGAAACTCTGTAGAAACCTATTCACTCCGAGTGATGCTTCTGGCATTTGAAATAACAGTGACGCGGCCTCCACATCACAGCAGCAGACAAGTCACCTCTTTATTAGTGACTAAAATTCTAAAAGTTCTGGTTTTCCTTAAATGTTTTATAACATAATCCTAACACATGAAGAATCTTAAAAACTCTAGAGTAGGTCAGGAACATTCAGCTACTGCAAAAAAAAAAAGTTTTAAAATAGGAAAAAAATAATACCATACTTTGAAGTAAATAAAAATAATATACTTCACGCAGAAGATAAATGTAACAAGGAGATTATTATAGGGGATTTGTTAACTGTTTTTATTAAGAAGCCCTGCGTATGCTGAGAGGAGATTAGTTAGTATCAGAGTTAGACTGATAATATATCAATTTTGTGACAATTTTCTCCCCTCTCTTGAGATTTCTTAAGGGCACAGTTCACCAGAATTAATTGCATGGAGCATAAATTATAGGAGAAAAGAAAAGAAAGGAAAAATTCCTGCCAGTGTTGAGGGGATAGTAAAGTCCAGGCGCAAACCTCCAGAGAACCAATTAACATCAGTTGCTAGACTTCGTGTGAAACACTTTTATCAAAGAATATAAATGTCGAAGTCAAAGGTGACCTTTCGCACTCACTACTGTTCAAATTCAGTACCTTGCCGTACCCATTCTCCATGGTGAACTCCGTGCCCCACCGTGTGGCAACATCTGTGGCGCCCGGCGAGCAGCTCTGACCAGTGAACGGCCACGGTGCTGTCTTCGCCTTCGCAGGCGCTCGCAGGCCGCTCGAATAAGGAGAGCAAGGCTGCTGTGAAAGAAAGCACTTGAACCTGTGAGAGACGGCGTGAGAAGGAAAACCGTGTCACGGAGGAGCATCATGGTGGCAGGAATGTTCCTTGCAGTTTAAGAGGAATAACGGACTGATCTTGACTTCACAGGAATTTCTTCCATATTATTTTTAAAATGCAGTTATATTAAAAGACAGGAGAAGCTACCAAGGGTTGATCACTAATTGCTTTTCAGATATACTTGTCATAAAAGACATGTCCGCATGGAAAGCTTTCACTATTAGGAAGGACATTTTTCAAATTAGACTACTTCTGGGGTCAAAATGAATCCTAGTGACATTTAGTAGAATCAATTTTTCCCAAGTGTGGGCAGAATTGGAGAGGAAGACAGAAATCACTGTTTGCGGTGTCGAGGTTTCATTGCTGTCCTCTCTAATACACAAACCCCTTTCTACATGCTATCAAGCCACATCACACGCACTGCCAGCGAGCGGATGCTGACTCATCGTGACCCTCTAGAGCAGGGTACAACGACTGTGCGTTTCTGAGCCTGTAAGTCTTCACAGGAGTAGAAAACCTCATACAGAACACAATCATGGCAAGGGGGACTGGTACAGAAAATCTCACGACTTATGAGTGAATATTGAACCAATTAATTTGAAGAAGTATGAAAGAAAAATGTAGATATGTTGTTTTTTTTAGGATCCCTGATGGCATCATGGATAATGCATTGAGCTCCTAATCATAATGTCAGAAGTTTGAAAGCACCAACCATTCCATGAAATAACAATGAAGCAGTGGAGCAATTTTTTATTATAAAGCTTCTTAATATTATAAGTTAATATATTAAGGATCCTATGGAGAAAAAAGGGAGCCCTGGCTAAGTATTGGGTTACAAGTTGGACTGCAAACCTCAAGGTCAGTAGTCTGAATCCACCAGCCATTCCCTGGAAGAAAGATGAGATTTTCTAAACTTATAAAGATATACAAGTTAAGAAACCCACACTGTCCTACTGTGTCCTATAAGGTCACTGTAAGTCCAAATCAACTTAATGGTAATGATTGAATGAATAGTGGAAAGAGGGTGATTTTTTTTTCCTACATAGGAAACTAAAACTATGCAAAATAACTACAATGAAAATTCTGTTTTTATAAGCAAGATGGAAACTACAATCTAATCCGTTTCTTCCATGACCCAAATGTGTGGTCTTATAATCTAGATTGTAGTTCAATTTCTATTTTGATTTAATTTCTATTTTGATGACGAAATCCATACTGCTCAAGCTTGTCCTTCTCTCACTTACCTTCCCAGTTATGTCCCCCAAAGCAAGAATTGATTCATTGGCATCGAGAGGGTCACACCAATAATCCATGCAAATTGGTGTTGCTTTCAGGCCTTGGAGTTTGTATTGACAAGGAAATTCTTCTTTAGACAGCAGATCATAGAAACAAATCTCTTTACTGGTAAAAGCCACCGCCATCTAAAGTACCAGAGCAGAAAATTAGAAAACTTCTCTGATGGATTTAATGGAATCAATATGCAAAGTGGATGTACAAATCTTTATCACCAACTCAGACTTAGAGGTAGCTTGAATTTTCTCTTCCTTCGGAGAAAGAAAAGAACAAAAAAAGGCAGGTTATGGTGACCCACACAATATAGGGCATCAAGTAATTAAACAGTCATGTCCAAAAATCTTTTCTCTTTTCTCAGAGGGCTCTTAACAATATCACAGATGTGGAACATTGTGGCACAAACATGCGTTATTTTGACTTTGGATTCTAGCCAAGAACAAACGTTTCCCATTGAAATCACTTGAACATGCTTCCGCTCCACATACCCACCCACTTCCTCCACCCATGGGAGGCTCAAAACCAATCGTGTGGGAGAGACAGAGACACCTAGTCTCTGGAACTTTACAGAGTATGTTTTTGCAAAACTAAATGAGTAAAACTCTGTAAGTAGCCTTCCTACACAGACAAATCCTAGAAGCAATAAAAATAAATGATTTAACAACATGAAAGTGTTTTTGCAAAGTATATGCATAAACCTGAGGGACATCACATGAACAACGCACATATAATGTACATATAATCAGATGATCATTGTCTAGACATAAATAACCTCACTCTAACAAACAGACAAACTAAAACATTCTAATATAAGTGGGAAAGAATATGAGATGCAATGTACAGATTATACTGATATCCATCTATCATGGAAAACCTTGCTTCATGTGATAAGGGATGAAGAAAATACATTTTAGCATAATAACAACATAGTTCATATTCATAAAATCTTAGCAAAAAATTGAGGAAATGCACATTAGCAATCACAAC